CCTCCCCGCGCGGTAACCTCCCCGCGCGGTAACCGCGTTGCTTGGTAACCTCCCCGCGCGGTAACCTCCCCGCGCGGTAACCTCCCCGCGGCCATTGTGTTGCAGCTGCGTGAACCTGCACAGCCAGCAGCACGCGCTGCTCATGTGCGCCGCTGCATTCTACCTCATCGAGAACTACCCCGACGACATCGAGCAGGACTTCACCGCGCGCGTCATACAGGTGACGGGGCCCACCGCAGAACCCACACGGGCATCGCCATCAGCGCGCGGGTTTGAACGCCGTCCACTCACTCGCCGCCCGAGCCATCGTTGTGCCGTTGACCGCCGTCTACCTCGGGGGGGTCGCAAAGACGCGGCATCGTCGTCTTTCCTCTTGGTGCGCGTGTTAGATTTGCGGAGTCGTAATATCCGGCAACGAAGAGTCGACCTCTTCCATCATTTACCACTGCGTGTTGCGGGGGCTGGAGCGCCTCGCTCTGTCCGGCAAGCTGTCCAAGATGGATGGAGACGCCCTGGTGAAGCTGAGCGTGGAGCGTCTGAACATGTCGAGCCCACACCGCGCACTGGCCGCCCTTGGCCTCATGCTCACGTGCATGTACAAAGGTGAGTGGCACCGCACTGACAACACGCACGCTCGCGTTCACACGCACGTACGCACGTCCACACGCTTGGTTCCACACGCTCACCGTGCCCCCCCTCCACGTGCCCCCCCTCCGCGTGCCCCTGGTGATGATTAAAGAGGGAATCCTGTTTATAGAGCAAAGCTTCGACACGATCGTCCCCGCCACTGAATGCGCAGCACTCAGTGTTCTCAGTGCTGCGCAAAGGGACCCACGACTACGTTGGGGTGCGATTGGCCAAAGTTCGATTGCTGTGCCCCCCATGCCGCTCATGCCCCCGCCCGCCCCCCCCCCCCCCCGTGTGCAGGACGTGAGAAGGGCGGCACCTCCAGCAGCGATGCCACGGACGGCGGCCACGCGGCCGACGAAACCGAGTCCACCATCGTGGCCATGGAGAGGGTGTCGGTCCTCTTTGACAGGTACAAGTCCGGCAATTACATGTGCGAGTCCTCTCGTCGCAGGTGCGACTCCAGTACTGGCAGGTGCGGGTGGGTAAGCGTTGCACCTAACGGTGCCAAGCGAGCGCAGTGGTGTGGCGATTGCGCGGCACGATTGTGCGGGCGTGAGTCAGGGGCGTTCGCGAGTGCCCTTCGACCCCCGAGCCGCGTCGGCGATTACTGCCGCACTTACCGTCAATGCGGCGGCGCTCGTTGTCGCGGACAGGCTGAGGAGGGGCGTGCCGTGCGAGGCCGGGGTCGTGTCCCGAATCCTGCCCCAGTTCCTCGACGACTTCTTCCCTCCGCAAGACATCATGAACAAAATCATTGGAGAGTTCCTCTCGAGCCAGCAGCCGTACCCGCAGTTCATGGCATACGTGGTTTACAAGGTGAGGCGCGGCGCTCGCAGCGACGGCGAGACGCAAACTCAGTGAATAGCCGGGCCTGACTCAGTCGGTGGAGGCTGACGCTGCAGAGCCGGTGGGAGCTACACTTCACGTGGCCGTAATCCAGCACTGTGTGTAGAGGCAGCAGTGAGGGTTAGTGGATCACCGCACACAAGTTGCGAAACTCCCTACCCGTGGGTGTTGAGGATACCATACTCTGGCTAACCAGAAAAAGTCAGTAGCAGCAAAAATGCGGACTCCACCTGTTCCCTCGGTATAATAATAATTTACATTTGTAAGGCCCATTTCATCCAAAGATCCCATTGTATGGGATAGTGTTTCTCCCTCGAACGTGTGGGTTTCCTCCGGGTATTCTGGTTTCCACCGACATGGAAACATGGGCAATTGTTTGCGCCAGCTCGCCACGTGACTTGGGTCCTGCTTGTCCATGGTTCCTCGCGCCTCTGTGCCGTTCTCTGTCGTGTTCAGAGCGAGCGAACACCGTGCGGCAGCGACGGCGTGTTGCAAGTTTAAACGATAAGATGAACGTCGGCTCTGAGCAAACAATTCAAATGGGGACGGCCGCTTTGGTGGCGGTCCATCTTGGTCGCCCTCGGCACGACTCCACTAACGGCTTCTCACTGCCGCCTGCCGCAGGTTTTTCAAGGCCTACACGACAGTGGGCGCACGTCCATGGTGCGCGAGTGGGTGATGCTGTCCCTGTCCAACTTCACCCAGCGGACGCCCATGAGCATGGCCGTGTGGAGCCTCAGCTGCTTCTTCGTGAGCGCGTCGCACACCCAGTGGATTTCTGCGCTGTATCCTTCCCGCGCCTGGCAGCGGAGCCAAATGCTTGCTACGGTTATCACGTTCGTTGCGGTAAACGAAAAAAATCTTGAACGATTTCTGCTAGTATGAGTCATTGTGTATAGCCCTCAGCCAGTGGTGAAATTCCACAATCCTATGGCGTGGGCGAGTCTCTCCAAAGGACAACCACTGTTGACTTCCCTGCAATATGGTTCTACCCCAGAGGGATGATGGGCTGAGTCAACCCCCAACCGGGATTTGAACTTTTCACCTTTTGTTTGCAAGCCGCTCACCCTACCGCTGAGCTATTGTATGATCTAATCAGACCTTGTCCTGAGATAGCCGCCCCTCCTCGTTGTCTGGGAGCAAGACTTCACGCTCTGCCATATTGTCCATTCATGCCAAGGATTTCCAGAGTAAAAGCTTGGAAGCCGTGATGAAGATGGTAACGCAGCCGCATGTATCATCATTGACTGTCCTGTGGCCGAGTGGCCCCATGATGATACGATGTTCCCCCCAGAGCGCCGAGTTGTTCACTGCACCGTACTCCACGGTTCCACAAAAGTTGGGAATCGCGGTCATCGGCCAAACGCTTTTCTTTTTCCTTAACCCCGTGTCCATCAGTTTCCCATACGTGATCAGCCGCATTGGAAAGTTTGAGAAAGCGGACAGGCGTCTGTTTTGCGTGCTTGGATTAGATTTCTATCGGAACCAGCTGGAGGAGGAGCTGGATCGCCGGGCGTTCCAGTCGGTGCTGGAGGTGGTGGCCGCCCCAGGGAACCCGTACGCACAGCTGCTCGTCTGCCTGGCGAGCGTCCAGCAGAGCTCGGCGCTGTAGCGGCAGCGCCGTGCGTCCAACGAGCCCTTAACCCTCGAGTACTTAACTCTGTGTTGAAGGTATTTGGCTAAAGAGTGGTGAATACTTTATAAAACATCTTCAGCGTGTCCTGCGCATATGGCTTGTGCATAGTCACGTCCAGTTGTAACATTGGCTTAATGGCGCGATTTAGTTTTACACTTGGTTACAAATGTGGTTTAGCACTGAGCTATCAGCAGATTGTGTGGTGATGCATTGCCAGTGGTGTCCAAATAACAAAAAAAGTCAACACGTTTGTCAATAATAAAACTGTCCCTTTGAAAGGAAAAATGTATACTAGGCAACGTTTTGGGCAATGGCCCAAAATGTTACCTCTTATTTATGGAGTTTATTACATCAGCAGGGAGCAGTGCAGCACTTGTACAGTAGTCCACATTCCCCCACCTCACCAACCCGCACTGACCAGCGTTGTGAAGTATGGTCAAACAGACCCTCACAACCAACGCAGCGTAAGGAGGCCCTCGTCCAGCAATTAATTGACATCGGCTCTACATGCACTGCACACCCCCCCCCCCCCCCGCCAGTCCCCCCGCGGGTGCAGCACCCGCGAGTTGTGCTTTGTGTCACCGTGACGTTGTGTAGTCTGTGGTCGTCAGAGGGTCACCTGAAATAATATTCACAAGTTACCATGGCAAGTGTGAAGCCCAAGTAGAGTCCAGTGTTTTGCTACTAAACTGGCGACGCCCAACTCGCTCCTCGGACCACCGGTCAGGGCGATGAAGGTGGCACGGCACTTCTGCAGTGGCACCGTAGGAGTGCCGTGCGGCGTCGAGCCGCGAACCGTTCAGCCGCACCCGGCGTGCGGCTCGATGTGGAGTTAGCGTGGCCCTTGAATGGCCACGCAACGTGGCTCTGCGGACCTGACCTCAGATTGATTTTTGTCAAAGTCACGGCTTTTGTGAATTCTGCGTGTTGATAAAGTGAATGGGTTAGTGAAACGTAGTGATGTAGTTGGGTGGTTTATTACGAGTGGACGGCATCACCGCACGGGGGTGACCGCGCACCTTGAGCGTGTGGCCGGCCCCGTTTGTGTCGCTCTCACCTTGGCACTTCTCCACCTCCTCACGGGGATGAGAATGCAGTGTGGCTCTCGTGAAAAACCAAAGGATCAAGGAACACTACTTCGTTCCGCGGTCGTGCACAACGCGTTAACCGCAATGAACCCTCTTAACGAAGGAAGCAGAGGTTTGAATTCTTGTTCTTAAAGCTTACTACCTTCGTTGGCACTTGCTGCTCACGTTGGTATGGTTTGGCCGACCCTTGCAGCCGTTGGTAGGAATAGCAAGACTCGCACTACAACGCCCATCTTCCAACATTTCCCTTTGCGTGATTTTTTTTTATTTACATGTTGGCGTCTTCTCCGTCGTGTCTCACTGGTCATACTTGTAATAAAAATGGTCTTAGATTTATTGGAAATGGGTTTGTAACATAACGCATTTGTTAAAGAATATACCCCTACGTATATTTGTTGGAATATATTGAATTGTATGTACAGTTGAAGGCAATATAATTGAATAATAAAATGTAACTGGATTTCATTGCTCACTTTGCCCTGCGTCCCACGATGTGCGTTTGTCTTTATCGAACGGTAGAGACCTCTTTGTTGGTCGTGGTGCAGGGGCACAGCTAACACAGAGTACAACGCGGTCGGCATTGCCACATGCACTCTAACAAAAATGGTAATTTGCCCAAACGTCGCCCATGGTGTATTTCACCGCGTGGCCTCACCAGGGATTTTGGTGGCTATACCAGGTCATCCAACGTGGTGTTTTGCCTGCATTGTTATTGCTGGTAAAGCATTAACACCTGTATAAGTCTACACATTTTAATCCAAAGAGGTGTTTCTACAAAAAATGCTACAGTCACACCAGTGGACCTATAATCAACGAAAATCATTTAATCGTTATGCATATTCTTTCATAATTGCACAATTCATAAACATGGCAGCTCTTAAATTAGTTTGAAATCAGAGGACAGATGGTCATTGTTTAACAGTTAACTCTCACATTCCACATTTTTCAATTGGGCTGAACAATGTCTCCAAAAAGCTTCACTCCCCTCTGTACGTGGCGTCTTCAGGGGCGCGGCGCACGCGCCGCCACTCTGAAGCGCATCGTGACGACGCCACTGATCCCGGCCACCAGCTCGTCCCCCTCCTGCACGGCCGCCACCCCCGAAGGGGTGCCTGGCGCACGGACACGGACACGGCAAAGCGTTTATGAAACTCCCACACCCGCTGGCCAGCGAGGTGGCCAGACAGGCAAGTGGATTCTTGAATCCACTGATGTGGACATGTGTGTTATGTCCTGACTTTGCATCGCGATCATCATCAGCACCATCTTCGTATTGTAAGGATTGGTATACCTGTCAGGATGAGGTCCCCCTCCTCTAGAGTCATGATGCTACTGATGTAGTTGATGAGGAATGGAATGCTGAAGATCATGTTGGAGGTGTGGCCATCTTGCCGCCGCTGCCCATTCACCTGCACAACAACACCACCAACCCCCGTATCAGCCTGAATCAACAAATGTGAGTGCTTTGTGCAAGGCGTTTGCTTCATGTGCTGGCAAGTCGTGCATTAGGCACTTGTTTCACGTTTATCGGTGTTTTGGCGCAGAAACGTACCGTCAATATTCCCCAAGCACAGTTACATTTCTCCTACACGGTATCCATGCCGCTACCCCCCCCCCCCCCAAGAGCCCCACGGGGCGAGGGAGGGGGATAGCTGCCAGTACCGGCGTGAGTGGGGAGCTCACCTCGAGCCAGATGTTAAGGTCGTGGGGGTCGGGGATGCGCTCCTTGGGGATGAAGTCGCTCACGGGGCACGAGCCGTCGAAGGCTGTGGCACACGCACACCAGGAAGTCAAGTAATCAGTATTTTTGTTTACCGTACGTGTGGCACCTTTCTGGCACAAATATACCACTCAAAGCGCCATCATCTGATGGACACTAAAACTCAACATACAATTTGAAAGATTCTACACAACGATTAAATATATATTTACTATCTAGTTAAAAATAAATGGCACAGACCGAGCAGCTCACACCCAAGCAGGTTCTGCTACTGAATCTAAACGAAGTGATAAATGTTACTTATTTACCCAGGAAAGCCACATTAAGTCTGAAGATGCCTCTTCAGAATGGTGCTGCTTTGGGATGTTTGGGCAATGCCATTCTCCATGCTTTTGGTTACGATTGGAAACTCGAGAAGCTGGAAGAAGTCCGTGCTGAGCGGGATAAAATAATACAAACTCCATAAACAGGTGCCCAAGTCAGGAATCGAACCCAGATTTTTCTTACTGTGGGGCACGTTTAACCACTGCGCCACCTTGTCGCCCCAATAGTTTACTGATTGTTTTACAGTTGATAAGTTAAATAGTTTACAATGCTGCGGTTAAATGTACAGTACTTGCGAATGAAAACCGTTCACATCATGAGTCACCCAAGGGCTCGGTCCTAGGCTGGTGTTTAGGACTCGGGACTCCTCGCGGGCTCCCAATGTGGCTGCTGGACATCGTGTCAGGGTTCGTGTGGCTTCGTGTCTCCCACGAGGGAGGCGAGGCTCAGGCATGTGAGGGGCATCCCCTGTGGTGGCCGGGTACGTGTATCGCGTGGCGGCCACAGTACGAGAGCAGCACGGCGGTGAATGCCCTCCACCGATGGCTGCTGCACGTCTCCGGAGCGAGAAGACGGTGGCGTGCGAGGGTTCGCTACTCGAAACACCACCGCTTCAATGTCGCTGGGATAGTCGTGATGTTACATCGCCTGTTTACCCAGGAAAGCCTCACCAAATCACAAGACTTTCAAGAGGGGCCTGCTAAGTGTTTGCATTTTCAGAATCGGCATGTTTAGCCTGGAGGAATCCAATAAGCTGTATGTATTGTCTGTTTAACGGAGCCAACCGCGCTCATCGGAGGTGCGAGCTCTGAAACGCTCTTTCACAAATGTCCAGTAGGGGCGGGTCAGCAAGTTACAACAACAACAGCACGAGGGGGTTCCCAATTAAGTAATTTGCCGGTATTTTTTGTATTAGATCGTAACGCTTGGCACACAATGACCTATTGTTCTTTTAAAACGACGTCACTGGATATTTAACGAGCACTGTAAAGCAGACGGCGTGCCGCGTTTACTGCCAGTTCACCCGCGGCATCAATCGAACCGCTCGGGGTCAAGTGACCGCCCCAGGTCGTGAGGTCGTGAACGGGGAAGGGTATCGAGCGGAGCAGCAGCTCGCCTCACGAGGCCCAACTGGGAACTTGGGGCGCGTGTGTCTACAACAACAACAACCTTTAGCGAGAGTCCAGGGGAGGCCCTTGCTCTTGCAGGCCTCCTGCGTGTCCCGCGCCGTCATGTCCAGGCACAGCGCGTAGCCTGCCACGTGCTCCATCGCGGCCGCCTGAGAGATGCAGCTCCCGGCTCGGCCCACAACCACTCCCAGCTCCACCTCGTGGTGCAGCGACGAGCAGAACCATGGAGCCTGCAACAGCAGCGCCACGCACAAGCTACACAGACGTAGCGTCACGCGAGCGTGCTTCACGGTGGTTCAGTGCGCTGTTGTTGATGTGTTCAGTGGCCGTGTCTCCCACGGGTTCCCAGTCGATTGAGGTGCATTGGCGATGCCTTTTGGTGTAAGCTCATTCCGGTGTGCGCCGTATGAACCAGCGTCCACTCAAGGGTTTAGGTTTCAGCCCCTTTTGTCAGTCCACTGCTGGATGAGGGCTTCCCCAGAATGTGCGGTTCGTGGAAGTTCTATGACCGTACTTTAACTGAATGTAAACGAAGCCGGTGTCCTGTAAGCTAAGGCGAAGCTGCTGCTGGTGGTGGTGCTGTGTGCGGCTACCCGCAGAGGGCGGCCCTGTTCCCGCACGTAGGCCGTGGGCGGCTTGAGGAAGAGCACGGGCTCCTGGGGCAGGGGGTTGTTCAGCTCCCTCGCGTGCTCCCTGCCCTCGTGAGCGCACACATCACACGCGCCGTCACCTCCATGCGGACGGATGGAAGACATTGGCAATTACTGTAAACCTACTTTTAAGTTAGTTTAAGTTGTTACACTTAGGTGACCTCCCCCCGCCGCCGCCGCCGCCGCCGCCATCTACCCCAGTGCCCCTATCTCCCCCAGCCGTCTCCATCTCCCCGTGGACTGGGGGCCACTCACGCGTAGTTCCTGCCCACGCACACCGCCTTGCGGCCCCGCTCCCAGAAGCGCAGCGCGGCGGCGGCGGTGGTGGTGGCGGCGGTGGCGGCGCTCATCGCGACCCCGGGCCCAGCGCGTGGACACCTACGCCAGGGCGGAGGGAAACCCTCTAACTCGCGATTGTCGCGATATATCTGCAGCTGTAATATGCGCTGCTTCCTATAGATTATAGATTGTCGAGACGCCACGCACACCGCGAGCTGCGAATTCTTCAGCCGGGGGGAGCACGACCGCCTCGTGGCTCCCACTCAGGAGGGTCCTGCCACTGCTTGGCCTCGACGTCACCATCCCTCATTCACTTCCGATGTGCAAAAGTGCTCGCGGTTCATGGATACGATCGTGCATTCACAGCGGCAATCACTGGCGCCGGGCTTGTCATGAATACTTGATGAGGGAGTCCAATATTTAATAAAAAGGTGAATGGTCCGAACGTGATCGCTCGCCAATTGGTGAATTGGATAATACACGTGGCAGCGCAGTGCCGCACGGGGACAGCTGCCACTGGGCGTGCCCGAGGATAATCAGCAGCACGGCACTGGCGTGGTTGAGACGAGGCCCTTCCAACTTGCCGAGATTTCAGCAGCGCCAGAGAAATGAAATGGTTGAATAGCCAGAACGATATTGAGAACTGACGATATACGATCATCGCGATTCTTACGAACAGCGATTTCCATGTGCGGGTCTAATTGCCGTTCCTGTTTAGTTTTGAGATTTCCAGTGAGCCAGCCGCTCACGCTTTGTCAGGGAGGCGCTCGCTCCCCCCACCCCCGAGCCCTGGCCCGGCCACCGCGTGGCCTCGCGACACCCCGGGCGCCTCAGGACCTCCGGAGGGCGCCGGAAGTGGAGGGGCGCGGAGGTAAGGGGCGGAGCCCGCGCGGGAGAGGGGCGGAGCCCGCGAGGGAGAGGGGCGGAGCCTGCGGGTGAGGGGCGCGCGATCGCTGCAGTGACTGAGAGAGCGCGAGGCTCCGCCGTGCTTGTGGGGTGAGTGAGTGAGTGAGAAAAGTGAAGTTTGTGAGGGTGGGTGAGGGTGAGTGAGGGTGAGGGAGGGTGAGTGAGGGTGAGTGAGGGAGGACGACTGAGGGAGTGCGCGGAGTTGGCGGCCATGTGAGTGCGATGAGAGGGAGGCCCGTGGGCGAGGGGACGGGACGCGTCGCTATGGCGACCGCGCTGGAGGGTGAACTCGACTCGAACAACACTCACAGACTAACACAACACTCACACAACACTCACAGACTAACACAACACTCACAGACTAACACAACACTCACACAACACTCACAGACTAACACAACACTCACAGACTAACACAACACTCACAGACTAACACAACACTCAGACTAACACAACACTCACAGACTAACACAACACTCACACAACATTCACACAACACTCACAGACTAACACAACACTCACAGACTAACACAACACTCACACAACACTCACAGACTAACACAACACTCACAGACTAACACAACACTCACAGACTAACACAACACTCAGACTAACACAACACTCACAGACTAACACAACACTCACACAACATTCACACAACACTCACAGACTAACACAACACTCACACAACACTCACAGACTAACACAACACTCACACAACACTCACAGACTAACACAACACTCACACAACACTCACACAACACTCACAGACTAACACAACACTCACAGACTAACACAACACTCACAGACTAACACAACACTCACAGACTAACACAACACTCACACAACATTCACACAACACACACAGACTAACACAACACTCACACAACACTCACACAACACTCACAGACTAACACAACACTCACAGACTAACACAACACTCACACAACACTCACAGACTAACACAACACTCACACAACACTCACAGACTAACGCAACACTCACACAACACTCACACAACATTCACACAACACTCACAGACTAACACAACACTCACACAACACTCACAGACTAACGCAACACTCACACAACATTCACACAACACTCACAGACTAACACAACACTCACACAACACTCACAGACGAACACAACACTCACAGACTAACACAACACTCACACAACACTCACAGACTAACACAACACTCACAGACTCACACAACACTCACAGACACAACATCACACAACACTCACAGACTAACACAACACTCACGCAACATTCACACAACACTTACAGACTAACACAACACTCACACAACACTCACAGACTAACACAACACTCACAGACTAACACAACACTCACACAACACTCACAGACTAACACAATATTCACACAACACTCACAGACTAACACAACACTCACACAACACTCACAGACTAACACAACACTCACAGACTAACACAACACTCACACAACACTCACAGACTAACACAACACTCACAGACTCACGCAACACTCACAGACTAACACAACACTCACACAACACTCACAGACTAACACAACACTCACAGACTCACACAACACTCACAGACTAACACAACACTCACACAACACTCACACAACACTCACAGACTCAGACTAACACAACACTCACACAACACTCACAGACTAACACAACACTCACAGACTCACACAACACTCACAGACTAACACAACACTCACACAACACTCACATACTAACACAACACTCACAGACTAACACAACACTCACACAACACTCACAGACTAACACAACACTCACAGACTCATACAACAATCACAGACTAACACAACACTCACACAACACTCACACAACACTCACACAACACTCACAGACTAACACAACACTCACACAACACTCACACAACACTTACACAACACTCACACAACACTCACAGACTAACAACACTCACACAACACTCACAGACTAACACAACACTCACAGACGCACACAACACTCACACAACACTGAAAGACTCACACAACACTAACACAACACTCACAGACTCATACAACACTCACAGACTAACACAACACTCACAACACTCACAGACTAACACAACCCTCACAGACTAACACAACACTCACACAACACTCACAGACTCACACAACACTCACAGACTAACACAACACTCACAGACTCATACAACACTCACACCACTCACAGACTCACACAACACTCACACAACACTCACAGACTAACACAACACTCACACAACACTCACAGACTCATACAACACTCACAGACTAACACAACACTCACAGACTAACACAACACTCACAGACTAACACAACACTCACAGACTAACACAACACTCACAGACTAACACAACACTCACAGACTAACACACCACTCACACAACACTCACAGACTCACACAACACTCACAGACTAACACAACACTCACAAAACACTCACAGACTCATACAACACTCACAGACTAACACAACACTCACACAACACTCACACAACACTCACAGACTAACACAACACTCACAGACTAACACACCACTCACTAAACACTCAGACTAACACAACACTCACACAACACTCCTGACTAACACAACACTCACAGACTCACACAACACTCACAGACTAACACAACACTCACAGACTCATACAACACTCACACCACTCACAGACTCACACAACACTCACACAACACTCACAGACTAACACAACACTCACACAACACTCACAGACTCATACAACACTCACAGACTAACAAAACACTCACAGACTAACACAACACTCACAGACTAACACAACACTCACAGACTAACACAACACTCACAGACTAACACAACACTTACAGACAAACACAACACTCACACAACCCTCACAGACTAACACAACACTCACAAACAAACACAACACGCACACAACACTCACAGACTCACACAACACTAACACAACACTCACAGACTCATACAACACTCACAGACTAACACAACACTCACACAACACTCACAGACTAACACAACACTCACAGACTAACACAACACTCACACAACACTCACAGACTAACACAACACTCACAGACTCACACAACACTCACACAACACTCACACAACATTCACACAACACTCACAGACTAACACAACACTCACAGACTAACACAACACTCACACAACACTTACACAACACTCACACAACACTCACAGACTCACACAACACTAACACAACACTCAGACTAACACAACACTCACAGACTCACACAACACTCACACAACACTCACACAACACTGACAGACTCACACAACACTAACACAACACTCACAGACTCATACAACACTAACACAACACTCAGACTCATACAACACTCACAAACAAACACAACACGCACACAACACTCACAGACTCACACAACACTAACACAACACTCACAGACTCATACAACACTCACAGACTAACACAACACTCACACAACACTCACAGACTAACACAACACTCACAGACTCACACAACACTCACACAACACTCACAGACTAACACAACACTCACACAACACTCACACAACACTCACAGACTAACACAACACTCACAGACACTACATCACACAACACTCACAGACTCACACAACACTCACACAACACTCACAGACTCACACAACACTCACAGACTAACACAACACTCACAGACTCATACAACACTCACACCACTCACAGACTAACACAACACTCACAGACTAACACAACACTCAGACTAACACAACACTCACACAACACTCACAGACTCACACAACACTCACAGACTAACACAACACTCACAGACTCATACAACACTCACACCACTCACAGACTAACACAACACTCACACAACACTCACAGACTAACACAACACTCACACAACACTCACAGACTAACACAACACTCACAAAACACTCACAGACTCATACAACACTCACAGACTAACACAACACTCACACAACACTCACACAACACTCACAACACTCACACAACACTCACAGACTAACACAACACTCACACAACACTCACAGACTAACACAACACTCACAGACTCACACAACACTCACACAACACTCACAGACTAACACAACACTCACACAACACTCACACAACACTCACAGACTAACACAACACTCACAGACACAACATCACACAACACTCACAGACTCACACAACACTCACAGACTAACACAAC